CTGGTTGCAGCCAAGGTGAGCCCACCCTGCGTACTTGGTGGCCGCGTACTAGGCAAGGCCCCATTTTACTGTTTTGTTTTCAAACAGCACGAGAGAGGGAAGGAACCGTACCACTTACTGTCAGAAAGGGAAGAAAAATGCTCCTGCTGCTTACTTTTGATTATTTTGTTTAAATCCTTTTATCAGCACACAAGATCAAAAACTCTCCCTACCGTTTTGACCAAGGATCATTTACGTGGAACAAACCTGAGGCACCTTTCTCAGGTTGTCCTTTAGACTGTACCAGAGTCCAGACTGGGAACACTTGTCCGGTCCTGGAGATTTTAGACTCAATTAACATAATTACAAACCTCAGGGCCCCACACATACTAACTTTCAAGATCAATATATAAATCTCTTCTGAAATTCCTAATAAAAAAAGTAAGTAATCTGCAATATTTGAGGTCCAACTATGATGGAATTAGGAATTTAAGGAAAAAAAGGATTTAGAAAAGGCTTACTGAAGTTAAAAATAAAAAAATCTTCGTTTAAATCAAACCAGTTACTAAGAATCCTCTGTCCCAATATGCCAATATAATTGTAATATTAAGGAAATGAATTTGAAAATACTACTTTAATCCAACAGGGAATTTAGAAAAGGGAAACTATTTCCCCAAAAAACAAACGTAAGTTCCTTGGATTTCCCCCCAACTCCGATTTCAGAACAGACATTACTAAACAAAGTGATTGACCAACTAATAAATATTTTTACCTACTTCACACTCCACTCTCCCAGCCCCCCCAAATCACACAAGCATGTTTTTTCAAGAATGAAAGAGCTCCAGAAAATATATAGGGTCCCCTCGTCCAATTTCTGAGGCTGACTGAGGGTTTAGCTCACTGGAACAAAATTGATGTAGAAGGAGAGCATTCTTGCAACACTTGCGACTAAGATACATAGCAGGTTACAGAAAAAAATCAGAATATACTCATGCTCTCTATAAACAAAATCAGAATGCATTTTGCAGATCTGTACCTTGTTAGTCTTGCCTTAGTTTCCAGACAGTAGCGCCAAGACTTAAGATCTGTAGACTTCCACGCTTGTCCTGCCTGCCCAGTACTCAGGTGGGAAGCACCCTGCGTTTGGGAGGCCACACGCAGGACTAAGGTTGTACTTTGGCCTCTCTTATCATTAACTGTAAGAAAGATAAGACCTGAATAATTTAGCGTCTCTGTGTTGGACGCATGTCTAATGCCTCTTCTGAAAGAGCGTCTCCAGAGATGGGTCAGTGTCAGACACACCCAAATCACTTTTGAAGATCTTGTCAGATCTGTAAGCTCTACATGCCATAAATGTAACCTTGGCCATGAGCTTGCTTCAATGCAGGATTTGATTTAGATTCCAAATTAGACATTTTCCTGAAGGAAAAAAAATAGGTTATTCAAAAAGGATTTGATATAGTTGTAATACCCAGACTAGTATCTAGAGCTCAGCTAACACAGAAAACCTCTTTCTAACCTAACTACACATGCTTCGGAAGCCCACATGTGACACACTCCTAATGAGAAAACAAAACATGCATAATGATACCCTTTTCCTTATTCACCCCACCCTTTCATACCTACTTATAGTACCGTTTTAAGTGTATTCCATCCTGTCTATTCAAAATAGATGGTAACATACAAGAACTGCGATACAATTTTCTTTATTAAAAATAATTTACAGCGTCGGTAACATTTTATGCACAATTGTCATCAATTGAACTTAAGATATATCTATACAATACTTACTGAACTTAAAACTTACACTGTTCTGTTGGCTTTAAACAGCAGACATTTATTTGCAGTTGCTTAAATATCATTCATATACATAGTTTCATGTCCTTATACTTAGGCATAAAATGTATAAACATCAACACTGTCCCAAAGCTTTGTAGTTTGGGAGGGGAAGGAGGAAGAAGGGCGCAAGGAGAGAAAACATTTAGAAAAATTGGAAGAGATTCCTCTCCGAATCCAACTGGAGAGAGAAGTCTAGGGTAAATACATCTAACACACTGAGTCACTTCTTCAAAAAGGTACACTTCCTCCTATGCTTTAAAGTAGTAGAAAGAGGTCTAATCGAACCATGTTTTTTTGTGTGGGATCACAGCAATCCTCCGACTGTACCATGTCCTGCCACTGCCAGAAAGCGGCTGTCACTGTTACCCATCTAAAGCTCAAAGGATACTAGCAGTGCACCCAAAGTTAAACGCCTTTCCTCTGCTGCTGGGCTGTTGAACCGGACTTTACAGCGTGCACTGCTACACAAGGGAGAGGGGACAGGCACATTACCCCGGACCGTCAGGCAGGCAGTTCACTAGCAGGCAAGAAGCAGAAGGGTACCAAAGCAGGGCTGCTCCTCGCAGCACCCACTATGCTTCGGGCATACGGAGTTTAAGGGTAGGGTCAGTCTGCACAACTTGCACAGATGCTGTTGACTTCAGCACACTTAGGGCTGGGCCCACTGCGGAGCCTGAAGTGTAACAGCAACTGCGCCAAAGTGCAGCTCAAAAGCTGTCTTTCATTCATTTTAAGACATAGGAGTGCAGCAGAATTAAAGTAGTTGCTATGGTAATGAAACCCATCACATCTCTTTTTTAAAAAAGATAACTAGCTTTATTGGTGACAACTTGTGGGTAAGTCACATCCCTTGAAATAGCACTTAAGTTCACGATACTGCTTTACCTTGACACGGCTTGGATCACCGTCTCCTTCGGAGGCAACGAGTGTGCTACTGTGCTAGAGAGGGTGGGAGGCTGCGTTCCGTTCAAGCATTAGCAGTTACACAAGTTTTAAGTAGGCTTGTAGTTGTGTGTTTATCATCTGCAGGAGGCATCATTATGTGTCAGCACTAAATTCCTATTTGCTCCCCAATAATGAACATGCATTTTCTTGAACTAAATCAAGAATACACATTTGAGCTGGGAAAAAAAAAATAGTATTAGACACTGTGTACAAGATCTGCTCAATAACTGGATATAATGAGCAAGAGTACCACAGAACAGAAACTCATTCAGCATTCAGTTATTACACAGTACTCAAAAATAATGCATTGATTTATCACCCATGTCGGTGGTAGGAGTCACTGGAATGGTTTTTATCTTGACTAAAAGAAAACCACAGCAAAACTAGTGAAATATAAAAACAGATTATACAGAAATTCAATCTTTAGAGAACTCTGTACAATAAAATAAAAGAGGTGTATTAAAGTTATGCCAGTGAAATTAATTTGGCATTTAAACTGTCAAAAATTAATATATTTAAATGATATAATTATGTCAGTTTTTTTCTACTTTTTTTTAAAGGAATGTCAGAAACATACTATTTAAAGATTTGAATGGTGCGTCTGTTTGCAAGTCAACTAGCTTAGTGTCTGGTTATAAATTGAAAGCACATGTAGTAATAAAGCTAATATCATCCACTTGAAAGTTTAGATATTTAAGACCATGTTTATCAAGAGCAAAAAACCTGAAAGCAAAATCTTGACAATTTATAGGCAAGTTATTGTAGTTCTCTTCTCCAAAAGAAATTAACCTGTACATAAATCGTAAGCAGTATTATGAAGCTTTTTGAGACACAGGAGCACAGAAATAGTATCTTGAAGCTGAAGACTCACTTTCACAGAGTAGAAGCTATCAATGCTTAGTTAAGTGGTAAAACACACACTTTTGCAGAAACTGTGCATCTTCCGTTAATCTTAAAGAGGGAACAGGGGTTTTACCATCAACGTGCTGACAATTACATTTATAGAAGTTGCAACGCCCTAAGAGCCAGGTTTGTTCAGTATTCTGGGATCTTCAGCAGGGGAATCCGACGCTTGTGTGGAAGGAAGCATTAAAAGGCAATATGGCTACCTCGCCTAGTTAACACTTGACTAGCATAACTTATTAGACATAAGTTGTATTTAAAGCAGAGGAATTTCAACAATCCTAATAAATGTTTTTAAAGATTTTTAAAGGTTAAAATACCAAGGGGAGGTATTTTGTCTAATGATATTGCAGACAGTACAGTAAAAACTCATGTCATAAATGACAGACTGCATCCCTTGAAGCAGATTTGACAAACTTGAATCGAAGAACACTGCAGCTTACCAAAAAGCTGGGGTGCTATACTTAACATGAACAAAATAACTGTGAGCATTTTTTAAAATGCAGAGATGTCTCCCATACTTCTAAGCACACACTATTTCATATCATGAGCAGTTTTAAATCTGGATCCAGATGAAATATAATCCCTTAATAAAGGTAAGAAAGTCGTGATCTGTGACACAGGATACCATGGGCATCAGGAGGACTGCTTTTTGTTCAGCCCATAACCTAAAAAGCAAGAAATTCAAAACTGACTATCTGTTTTAAGCTCTGGATTAAAAAAAAAAAAAAAAGAATCTGTTTGGCCTTTAACATTCCATACCATCTGCTACCCTTAGACCAACAAACAGCAGTACACAGATTTACAGGTGCAAAAACTGAGTGGAAACAACTGCAGAAAATCTTCTTACATAATAATCTTCAGCACAATCAGTTTCAGATTTCGCATTGTTTATTTACAAAATGGTCTGATAAAACATCCCCTCCATACTTACAGCTCTCTGCCACAATACACATGTTGATTTTAGCAATGTTTAATAGCACCATTAGAATATTATTTAAAATCAGGAAGGATCTTGTTGCAGTTACAATGATTCACAATCTTTTACATCCATGGACGAAGTAACTTGGAGCACACTAGGACTGTTTGCAGTTCCACAGTACAGATTCCTGGGTTCACACAAGGCATTTTCAGAATTACCAGTTACGCAAGGTACCCACAGAGTCAGTAGCCACTATAAGAATCTTCGTGCCACGAAGTTTAGACTTCCACCGTATTTGTATAAAGTTATCTCCATGTCGTTTTCAAACAAGGCAATCACGCTGAATACTTTTCCAGTGCTTGTCTTCAAAACAAAAGCAATAAAGAGAGACCAATTAAGAGTCTGGCTTTCACCTCTCCTTGCTTATTCTCAGTTAATGTTCTAATCCCAAGTTTTGTTGAACACAAGCAAATTCAACCCGCTTATCTGCTACTGGTGGGAACAGAATGACGGCTTATTTTACTGCAGAGTTTAATCCAGCCGGGAGCATGCTACGTACCTATTGACAACACAAAAAAGGCCATTTCCCTGAGGTGGCACAAAGCGTGTTATTACAGGCATACGGTTCCTTTACACAGAATGGAAAGCTGAATCCTCTCACAAATAGTCACACCCTGGTCTTTAAAAGGGCCTGAGAGAGGAGACTCAATTCTACCTAACACAGTGCCCATGAGGGGGGAAACCAATGCCCGCAAGAACAACCAAGAATTTCAGGTTACATAAAAAGTTGCATAGAAAGAACACGTGTACATGTACTTTGGGAAACTTCAATAGCCATGGCAAACTTCAGGCAAGACTTTATAAGCTTACTTTCAAACAGAATTAAGTTTTGTTTTTTCCTGCTTTCAATCATCAGGATTAAGTTTTCTTTCCATGCTTTCAATCATCAGCACATCCAACAGTGAAATAAGAGAAATACTGCAGAGATACCTTAATATCCAAAGTCATTCCTGGCGACAGCTCTGGAGGGAACAATATAGAAAATTGCTCTCTGCCAGTGAGACCCAAAGTACTTGGATTTTCCCCAGGAAGAAACTGAAGTGGAGCTATGCCAATTCCAATCAGCTGACTTTTATGAACCTTCTCATAGCTTTCAGCCAGGACAGCTTTCACACCCTGCAAAAAGACAATTTTCTATTTCAGCACAGTAGTCAGAGGGAAATGCAGAAGTAATCTTCAAATACATATTATGTCCAAAATCGTGCAATTCAAACTGAAGAGCAGAGAGAGTGCTTTGTATGAGTCCTGTAAGTAGGGAGGTAACATCTTTTAGCTTGACAACTAGATGAAAGCAAGTAAGCCAGAGCAGGCCCACAGAGTGTGAAATGGAGGTATGTAACAGACAGTAACCATGCAGTAGCTAGCAGGCAGAAAATCCCAGACCAAATGTAGCTGCTTCCATCGCTCCACATGAATAAATGGCTGACTCCGAGTATATTCTGGAGATTAGTGGAAATTAGTCTCCAATAGCTAGATACTTAATACCCCACAGAGACCAAACAGAGGTCAGCACTAGATAAATGTCTAATTTATCTCAAAGTCTGGAGTCTAAGGTGGCAAGTTACGTAATTAGGAAAGTCAGATTTATTCTGACTAGTGATTCTCTTCTATGAAGACTCTAGCAAAGAAATATTGAGACACCTTTAAAAGCAAAACGTGGTATTATATCTAAGATTGAGGCCAGTTTCTAAACACATTCATGTCCAAAACTAAACAATGTGTTTTTAGGTATTTCCAGAAAACACAAAAGACACATCCCAAAACCAAACAAACCAGTAGTACCAGTAAAAAAGGCCCTTTTGCAGCCCAGTCTCTTGAGCTACCCAGTCCATACTTCTTTCCTGCTAGAATAATTACAGGGATGCCTTCTTTCTGGTACAACTCCGCTGCTTCAAACACATCTAGCTGTGGAATAACAAAAGTGAAATAGTTTGAGCGAGTTCTAAATCCACACCACAATTTCAGAGTAGCCATGCAAACAAATATGTTTTTACCGTTTGTCCCGATGGGAAGTGAATTGTTTTAGGAGCTGGTTTTCCTATGAACTTATTCAGAAGCTTGATATTTGCAAAGGTACCTCTTGTCATCACAGCATCATTACCTCGCCGAGCTCCATAAGAGTTGAATTCACGAGGTGTGAGACTAGAATAAAAAGAGTATTTAAAGGGGAATCAGTTATTTTAAATTCATCTGGTTTAAAACGATACTATAACTTTTATAACAATTACTGCAGCATCTTTAAGTTTTCAGTGCAAGATGTAAAGAACTATTCATCCAGCAAATGTAATTATTAGAAATCATGAACAAAATGTGTACACCATTGCTAGATTATTCATGAGGAAAGCTGCAATTTTAAATTAATTTTCTGTGACTTCATGATAAAGTGCTATAAGCAGTATGGTACTTAAAGAATTATGGGGAGATTGTTCCAGGAAACAACCCTGTTTACTAATCCTCTTACCTCTACCAGAATATTAACAAGCATTGTATCAAAATGAGAGTTTTACTCATAAATCAAACGACCATCCGGGGATTAAAGGCCTATTCATTCTTTTCTTCCTTGTAACATTACTCATTCAGGCTGAACGCAAAAGTTAGAAAGAAGAGTCCAGACCACAGGCTATGATTTTGTCCTACTTCACCGATACTGTAATAATGATAATACACCTTCGCAATATAGCACAATAATGTAGTTTCCAAAACATACAGCCAAGGGGTGCCACTGAATAGCTCGCCCTGCACTGTGTTCTGTGTCTTTCTAAGATTTCAGCAGAGGTGAAAGGCACTCGCTGCTGCTGCAGGATGCTCGCTGACACAGTGTTTCTAGAGCTTCTGATCTGTTTGGTGCATTTATCTGACTGTTCTTGAGGCCAGTGACAGTAACAGGGACTACCCTCACATTAACAGAAAATCAGCGACCCGATTTGTAAATGAGTAAATTATTTTTCTTGTGGCATGCATGTAACAAGAGCTCCTCAGGAGTATGTGTCAGCTGTTTGTTGTAACCTTAGAGGCTGCAAGAAAGGCGATTACTGGGATTGCAAGACAGGCGATTACTTACAATGCCAGTAACGCTTACTATTTTGCTTATCCATGTATACTCTCCCCTTTTTGCAGGCAGGCGTTTACAAAGGACAGCAACAGTGTCGATCCATTATTTGGCACATGAAGCAGTCCCCCGATAGCATTAGAGCTGCTTCATGCGAGAAGTCCTTACCCTTTGTTGGTCAGATACTTAGCAGCAGCACTACTCCTTGCAATGCTTCCAGCAGGGGATATGTGATCGGTGGTTACAGAATCTCCCAAATAGAGCAAGACATGGGCATTTTCAATCAGTTGTGGTGAAACCGGTTCTTTGGCCTCAAAGGGAAGGGGTGGCAGGGGGAAACAACAACAAAAAAATAAGAAACACATTTTTCTTCCAAGATGCTTAGAGATATAAAATGTATCGGCAATATATGAAGGCACACTGAGGTACAGGCTCCACTCATTCCACAGATACAAATAGTATTTAACACACTGAGAAATATTAGTGATAATCAAATCTGTAACCGAAACATTGAAGCTTTACTGGAATAGCTATTCCTTGACTTATATGTAATGCATACAATCTGGTGGATAGATCCAATGTACTTACAAGTTTATCAAAAAAAGAAGGACATCTGATATAAGTAGATTTTAAATCCCAGGGAAATAAAGTTGACTCAGGAGCTTCCAGTAAATTCCATCGTTTGTTTCCTTTCTACAAAAAAGAAAATTAACCAAAAAGAACAAGAGAAATTGGTTTACGATTTCTTTACATTGTGAAACCAAAGACTTACTGGTGATTTTCTGTTTAATTTCTATTACATACTACAAGTTACCTTACTGGATATTACTTAAGAATCAATATTTAATACAAGCATCCATCTCAGTTAAGTCCTCCTTCACAGTAAGGGAAATAACTGACAAACCAATCATATTCAACTGGAAGATATTATAAAGCTAGAATGAAATGCAATCTTTAAGTTACGTAGAACTAAAGAGCATTCTTGCCTCCATTTTTTCTTTCAATTCCTTAAACATGGATGATATCACACACTCTTCCTCCACTGTGTGAAGTTCTCTTCGGGTAGGCCAAATATCTCGTAAGTAAATACTTTCGCCGTTAAAGCCAGTGCCTGAGTAAGATTTTAAACAGAAGAGTGATTTTAAAGAATAAAAGATTAGACTTGATATTTATATTAGACTGTAAATATGTATATACTCAGGTCTTCAGAGATGGTACCAGATACACCAAGAATTTCACCTGTTAAGTGGATGCTTTGCTTTAGCTACGAGCAACACCAAATTATGACTGCGCCTTCTCTTCAAATATACAGGGTTTGTATGCTGAAATGCACATGAATAAGCCTCTTCTACGTATGCATTAGATGCAGAAATGTAAAACGTAAGGAAATGCTTACCCAAAGGCTCTGTTTCAAAGTCTATTCTAACGGTGCCTGCAATAGCATAAGCAACTACTAGCGGTGGAGAAGCAAGGTAGTTGGCACGGACGCAGTCACAGAGACGTCCTTCAAAGTTCTTTGTTCCAGATAATACTCCACAGGCAATTATATCACCCTGAAAGGCAGACCCACATATGTTTTTCTAGGACTTTGTGGTAGTCAACTGAAGAATAGCACAAGCTGTTGAAGTCAGCCAGATGTGCTTTTAGCATTCCGTGTCAAATATTTATTCTAACACTTCAATTTAAAGGCATTTTGTTCTCTCCCACTACCCTTCCTCCTCCTCCTTTTCACTCTTGACCCTCTGATGTGTTCTGCAGTCACTTTAGTGAGCTCTTCTCCTGCCTTTTATTTCTTTTATTTTCCTTCCACTTCACAGGACAAAAATGCTGCAGCTGTTTAGATGCTGCAGGTTAAAATCAGAGAAGCACATAGCTCTTTAAAATCCTCCTCTTATGATACAAAAATCTACACGTTATATCCTCCATAAGACTATATCCCATGTATTTATCTCCTACTTTATATCTGTATGCTACAAATACTATTTAATATGTTTATTTTACATAGGAATGAATGACCACTATCTCCCTCTGACATACAGCGTCCAAAAACATGATGCAAAGTCCAAACCAACAATAAAGCATATTTTGCATGGGTTACTCTATTTCTTGATCGTCTAACTAGGTGAGAACTACATTTCTGAACTCAACAAGCCTTAGAGCTTTACCTGTTTTATTGCATTCCTGATGGCTTCTGGCAAGGGGGCAGTGTTTCCAACACAGGTTGAACACCCATAACCGACAACCTCAAACCTACATTGGAAAAAAACAACCAAGTAGCACCTTAAATGATCACAAGCAATTTGTTAGCAAAACAGCTTTTTCTTTTATTAGCAATCCCTAAGAAGATTCCCCCCCCCTCCATGACAATTAGACTTTTTAGGGAGCGAACAGCAGACACTACATCTCACTGATGCAAGCAGGAAGATACAAGGTCACACTTTTGTAATCGATCAAGTCAAATAAAATCCCAAGATGTTGTTAGTTCCACAAGTAATGGCAAAGCAAAGGCAGTACTATTCCTCACACAGCACAGCTGGGCACTGTTATAGAATTATGAACATAATCTAATTGTTACTGCTACAGAGCAACCAAAAACATGCTGAACAACCCACAACAGTGTTAAGAAAAGATTAATACAGACTGTCCTGACAAATTTACACCCAGCTTCCACTTCTAAAATATATGAATAAGTGCATCCTGTGCTATAAGGCACTTACAATTAAGTAGGTCGCTACTGGAAAAAAAACATTCAGATGAGGTAGAGATCTACACATAGTAATTTTAAGGTGTAAATAACATGGACTATAACACAACTAAGTCAGCAAGTAGTTGAAGAGACAATCCATTTAAAGGTAAGAATTATCCAACACCAAATGAAGAGCAACCATATTTATCAACCTGTATAAAACCCCTGTGTACTATTTTTCTAAGACGACAAACACCATAGGAGTCAAAACTTACCCAAGCTTACTGAGGTATGGTAGTACTCCACTTGAACTGAGGTAATGTGTAACCATTCCGCTGCCTGGTGATAAACTGGTTCTTATGTAGGGTTTAACCACTAGGCCAGCTTCAACAGCTTTTTTTGCCAGGAGTCCTACCAAAGAAAGAGAGACAACTTATGTTTTGTATATCCCTTAAAAGAACGTCTAAATGATGCTACCTTAGTTAAATTAAGCATAAAAAAAACCTCAGAGGATGAGTAGACCTTCAGTTTATTAAATTATTAAAGCAACTACTTGCCTGAATAAAGTTTCTTAACTCATAAGAAAACCAGTCAGCTTTTTGTGTTCCCATTCCTATAATGTAGATGCCCATTTTCTTTTCCATAAGGAAAATCTTTCCCATGTTCTAGCTGACAGTGCAAATCCATTTATTATTCTTCTTCTGATACAGGCCACAGCCTCAAAGGGAAGTTTGCCTTGGCCACAGAGGGGCTCAAAAGAAGAAAGCAAGGCCCAAGAGAGGATTAACTGTCTGGGAAAACTGTGTGCGGCTTGTGAAGGTAGGGCACATACTCCTTCACTAGCAGCTAAAGCACAGAACAACTGTTCAGCAATATGGATTTTCCTTCCAGACTCTGCGGCTAACTGTGGTTTCAAGCTACCATCATCTAGGATGGAGTTAAAGCTAAAGGCCACCTCCTGCATCGACTGTGTCAATATGTGCATCCATCTGAAGGCAGCCCTAGAACTGGTTACCTGTTGAAATACTACCAAATGTAAATATTTCGTAATTGCCATCATTAATACTGCTTTATGACACAAATTTTGAGACTGTATTATTTAAAAGTAACTTTCATTATATAACCTCCAGAACATTAACAGTTTTAAACCCTTAAGTCACGTCATTGCCAGGAACCTACAAAAATGAAGGTAAAGGCTGTGTAAACATGGGAGCACCATGGAGATCAAGTTAGTTGTCACTAGTCACAACATACCTGCAGCAAGCATGACCGAGGGGTTACAATTATTTGTACAGCTGATTACTGCAGCAATGACAATGCAGCCATGAGATAGCTTGTATTCGTTTCCTTCATACTGAACAGGTACAATGTCATTCTGTCTCTCAACTGCAATCTGGAACCCTTTAACACCAGACTGGATGACAAAAATGCACGTTAGTGGTTATTATAGTACAGAAAGTATGATATTACAGCAAAACCAAGTGAACTCTCATTTTAAAATACTCAGCTGTCCCATCTGGAACCCTTAAACAGATTTTAAAAGCAGTCCTCAGTTCACGCCTCTCTCTGTATCTATGGTGGTCTCATCCTTCGTTCTTCATAACTGCTTTAACTTTGCAACAATTGTGAACAAATGCTAAATGAAAGCACGTTGATACCACGCTACTTTCCTGCTAGATGTGAAAGAAGAATCCCTTACAAGTACATGTCTAATTCTGGACAGTCCTTGTTTCTGAATTAGAAGAATACCCAAGATTTTAATTGGAAGAGGATGGTAACTAAAAGCAGACTAGGTCTACTAACATTTCACACCCTCCAGCTCTTCAGCACTCAGTGATCCTCCAGAGGTCCCTTTCAACCTCAGCTGTTCTGTGATCCACGATCAGTATGACTTCTCTCTCTAGCACAACTGATTATCCTGTATTATATACCTTGTCACAAGCCAGAAGTGCTAAAACCAACAGAAAGAGGTTTTACAGAGTGTCTAAGTGCGTATGTTTCTAATGCTGCTGCCAGTCTTCAACTTTAACAATAAACACTAAAAATGAAGATGCATTCCTTAAGAACACAGCACAATGATTAGCTACAGATCTTGGAATTCTTTCTGCACCGCCTTTAAGATGTGATGAGTTTTCTTTTCTTATGGTAATTCTGTTTTGGAAATTAAGTAAAAGACAGCTTTTAAAATAACTCTGAAAATGAGAAAATGTTTCCCAAGATTACACGACTTAGCAGTTAACAAGTTTTTCCTCCCTAGCGATCTAAACTGTGAAATTAAGGATTTTTGGAAGTTCATGTTCCTGACAAACACAGCTATGATTTACCAGCTACTCTCCTCAGGATGCTTGTCAAGCAGGAAAGAGTATCACTGGAAAAGCTGTTTTATATAGCAATAAAAGAGACCTCAGCAGGTATGCCAGGAAGAAGTAAGGTAACATTTATTCATGTACATTATACGAAGTACCTTTTGAAGAGTACATCAGTTGTACAAACCTTTTCATTTAAGCAGGCCTGGAAGTCACTTTTCATGTTATTAACAGCCACTCTGTCTTGGGACCTCTTGGGGCCACTGACATACGGAATTATAGAACTTAGACTAATTTGCACTACCTAAAAAAAAGAAACAAAGACAAAGCATGCATTATCAATCCCAGCCCAACAGGACATTGAATATACTCAAGACATCCAGGACCTCTTTTGTTTAAAATCTGAATGTTCTGAGACATTAAAAATGTGGGCTTCCATTTTTAAAACTGCTCATTGTACAAGGCTATTCATCTTGTTCAAAGTGTTTTAACGTTACCCCTAACTTTTCTAACTCTGTAAAACTTACCTGATCACTCAGGATTGGCAGGAATACAGTAACTGTTAGCTGACATGAACATTGTTGTACTTCCCTTCTTTCCCCCACCCCCTCTATATTTTGCAAAAGTACTCTGCTTCTCAAAATCGTGAGTTAATAAATGCAACTTTTATTAAAGCAATAAAAATTACAACCAGAGACAAAATCATTAAGTCAACAGTAGTTATTTATTATGAGAATCAAACACTCAGAAGCAAGTTATTTCAAGCATACCTGGGAATACTCAGGTTCTCCAGAAGAACTCTCATCATTCCTAAATAACTTCACAGCTTTAAGATATGCTTCCATGACTTCAAGCTTGGCTTTGTCAAAACCTTAAGGAGGTAATTTAAAACATGAGAAAAGCCACATTAAAAAAAACAGTAAAGCAAATCATACAATTCTTGGAAATTAAGCTGTTTGAAGCATATCAAATTTATCCTTAAACGTCAAAGTATTTTTTTTGAAGGCACACCATTCTGTACCTCAACCTCCAGGAGCTATTTAGGAGTGAGACACAAATTAAAATACTTCTTAAAATAATAAAAAAAAAAATCACCTTAACTTTTCTTCTTATATCAAGGAACAAAATAAGATGTTCCAACTCTTGCAGTGGTAGCTTTAGTTAAATTAACAGATTTGTCCCTGAAGTTCATAAAGCTTTTCTCTATTAAGATTTACTTGTTTAATACAGATCACATGCTTAGTTGATAACAGCCAGTATTACTGGCTACTGGTAGAAAATGTTTCATTTGCCCTGCACTGACCAGACAAAACATGTTTGTTACTAAAACTATTTAACTCGTATTTAAAAGTGACAAATTTCAGTTTCAGAAAGGCTTACTACTGTGAACGAGGTTTTTTTGATGTCTGTTATCCTGTAGCTTTCTCTATTTGCAGTAGCTTGATAAGGAATTTACATCCTTCTAGCTTAGCTTGAAATGTCAGCAAAATAACGCTCTTAAAAGGGGGGGGGAAATCATTGCGAAACAAATTAGAAACTTGTTGTGATTTATTTTGCTGTTTCACTTATTTCTAATCACTTCAGGTTTTGATTTTTTAAGGAATCTACAGGTGGTTAAAGGATTAATTTCATATCAAGACTTATATTCCACACATTTTTCAAAATGTAAGTAGGAATTTTCTCAATACTTTTAAAGGTTTACATATTCTTTGAAAAACAAGGACTCTGGATGTTGAAAAATAACACAATGTTGGTAAATCAGGTATTAGTCAAATGAACCAGACTGGAAACAAACCTCAAGGGCAAGTCAGCTATCCATAGCCAGTGTTGAGCATATAAAAACTGCAGCCTCACTTAAATATATGGGGACAAAAGAGGCCACAAGAAAACACACGCGCCAATAAAGCAAGTAAATAACTCAGACGCCACATACGAAGCGTCCCACAGAACTAGCCAACAGGTACAGTACAATTCTTGTGGTAGGTATTACTTGGATGCATGAGATTCTACAGGATCAAACTTGTAGCCAAGTATATCCCATAACACGGCCTGTGACTGTACAGCAGAACTTTATACATTAAATTCACATCAGAACTCGTGCAGAAAAATCACTGTTTAAGAACTAAGGAGTTTTAAGCAAAAACATCCTGCCAGATAGCTAAAACACTATTACAGTGACATACTGGTTTAATTTCATCCTTACCTGTATGCTTTAAGTGCTTCAATGTCACATTATCAACAGGGAAAAAGCTCAGAATAGCACCATACTCAGGACACATATTTGCTATTGTGGTTCGGTCTGCTACAGACAGCTGGGAAACTCCGCTCCCGAAAAACTCAACAAATTTTCCAGCAACATCAGCTTGCCTAAGATGCTGTTTAAAAAAAAACACACAACAACAACATTTGTTATGTGAAGAGGTACAACGCAAGCAACATTTGTTGCAACAATCCGCAATTAGCAATTAGTCGTGAACATTTAAAACAAAAAGCTGAAACCTTAAGGCCTACGCCTACAAAAACAACCCCCAAGGCCCATTAGCATACTGGGTTCTAAAAATCTACATTGGAAGTTGACATAAGACACCTCCAGCTGCAGTTGAGTTCTTCAGATTCACTAGTCAAAAACAGATACACACTGCTTAAAGCGTCACGCCAGAAAGACGACTGTATTTGTAAAGCAATCGCAGCTCTTCACCTACCACAACAGTGACAGGTTGTGCCACCCTGGAAAAACCCTGTCTTCAGAAAATACATTCTTGAGGTATACCAGCTTACAACCACAGAGAGCCTTTGTGTCTTGCAGGAGTATTTTAGAACAAAAAGGGTATCCAGAAAAAGTTTCTGACCTACAGAACAAGCCTACATGCTGTCAATAGGAGAAAAACGGAAAACAGGGCTTCGCACTCCTGCACATACCTTTTTTTTTTTTTATTATTATTTTTTAGTAAGAGAGCCTGAAAGTAAACCATTATAGAGGGAAAAGAAGAAACCACTACTTTGGAGAACTATCAAATAAAAATGGTTAGAGATTATCTGTATCTTTCTGCACCGCCATGAGTAAAGGCAGAGCTCTAAAAATACTCCCAGCATTTAATTCAGTTCTCAAACATCTCTGGTAGAACTTGGCGACAAACTTCGCTTTGTCTGAACACTCCCTTACCTTTGTAATGCTTAGAACAATATCTATGGACGTAGCAAGTGGGCTGGCTGTGCCTGTCAGCTCACACCCAACCACCTCAGGCAAAGTGAGCGTAACCGGCATCCCCAGCATCACTGCTTCTGTTTCAATGCCCCCAACACCTGGAAGGAGAATATTAGGTTGCTTTTCATCAGTTGAAGTAACCGACATGAAATATCTTGAGGTCCTAAAAATCTAATAAAGCCTTTCCTATTAAGCCTAAAGGGTACAGCAAGAAACGTAGAAGTTCTGTGTTAAATATTTGTACAAGAAAGATAAAATCAAGCAAGACTACTGCTGAAGTTAGACTTCACAGTTGGCCAGAAAATACTTTATTTCTAAAATTAACTTTCCAAGAGAAAAGAAACCTTCATAAAAGTTTTATACCACAAGTACAAACAGCACTTATTTGAATATCAATTGGGTTTTGGCTATTTTCTCTTTACATTACAAAAAGCAGGTTTTGATGGAAAGAAATGTTAGTTGAGATTACTCTTAGGCAAAAAACATTCTGAAGAATAATTCAAGACAGAGTTTGTTATGCCCGCGACAGAAATAGCCAGCGGGAAGATAGTATTTCTCAGTAATGCTTTAGCGGGCCTTTCAAGGTGCTATCAAGTTATTCTTTGCATACTTACCCCAGCCCAAGATACCCAAGCCATTTACCATGGTTGTATGAGAATCTGTGCCAACCACGCTATCTGGATATAGGAAATCTTTAACTTCAAAAACAACTCTTGACAGATATTCCAAGTTAACTTGGTGCACCATTCCAGTCTCAGGTGGAATTATGGAAACGTTCTTGAAAACCTTTGAACCCCACTGCAATTTTTCAAAAAAAAAAAGTTGAGGTTTTTTTCAAAGGTATATTCAATTCTTAGAACGTAGCTAAAATGACACAACTAACATGCAATAAAACAGTACTTGCTATTTACACAAGTGGCTTTCGCTCATTCGGCAGAGCGAGCTACGCGATCCCCTTGGATTCTATACATTCTTAATCACTATCAAACCACTCGTTCAGTTCTTGGCAACGGCAGAATCAGGAAGCCACACCTACCTTTCAAAAGCAGGGCTGGATAAATATCTTGCCTTCCAGTTCACACAACTGATTTCAAGCACAACTAAGACTTGTATTTAGGCAACAAAACCTAAGCACTTGCATTTATAGCAGGCTTGAGTTTAGGTTTTACACTCCTGGGTGAGACTGAAGATACGATTTAGAGAAGCGCCTTGCTACATGTAAACTCAGGATGCTGGATTTAAAGTGGATGTGGAAACTTCTAACAAAATTCAGCTTGGCAGTCTCCCTCTTTCATGAGGTAAAAGCTAATTTGCAACTTTCAGAACAAAACCTCCTAGTCTACCTATAAGAAAAGATTTCTAGATCATTGCATCGGATTTCTACACCATGTCAAATCAGTGGATGAAGATCAAATACCAATGTTGCAGATCTCTGTCTAGCAACAAAGAAGCCAGTGTTCACCACACAAGACTTCCATTAACAAGTTGACCAGCACTGCTGCCTGGCTTGAGAGCAGCAACATCTCAACAGCGGCTTCTGTGCAACGCTTCCAACTTCAGTCAGATGTGTAACAGCAGGATGGATAAATGAACCTTTTATCCAGATACTCGTTGTGACCTAAGGCACTTGGATTGTTAAGAAGCATTAAAAAGACTAACACTTCATAAATATCTACTTTGTCCTCTGCTTTCGCACTGACAAGAACGAAATCAAACAGTATGAACTTTTTCAAGTTAGAATTACAAAAAAATATCTCCCCTTTAACCAACACCTAGATTTAGAACCTCTGCTGCCTAACCTGGTTTAAAAGTTTTTAAAGTCATAAACCATGTTATTAGCCAATTTTCTGTTCCCATATTAAATTCAGATTTGAGAGTCTGACACATCCAGTTAAATTACATTTAAGTTGCCATCTAAACCTGAACACTGGTGGACAAATGGAGCAAGCTCTTAAAACCACCAAAACACAAGACAATAGAAAGCCCACAGGTACACAAACATACCTTAAAAAATTGAAGCCTCTCTCTATTTCTGCCAAATTCCATCTCTTGATTTTTCAATACTGTCTCAGGCCTAGGAAGATACGAAGTTTACAAGCACTGTCATAATTTATTTCAAATTACAGAAGAACAAGTTGTTATTTTTGCTTGTTTGATGAAAGACTCATTTAAGCCTGCAGCAAAATTTGAAGCAGTTTATTAGAACAAAGATCATTCCTTCCTTGCAGCAAGCTTTCTGTAAACAGTGAAAGATAACTGATTTCATCTGTGCTGTGCTTGAGAACATGTTTATTCAAGGTATAGTTTGCCTAAAGCATTTGATCTCAAAAATACTCATTTTAAGAGATCTGTTCCCAGCAGGTACTACAATACACAGAAGCTTTCCCTGCCTCATCAGTAGTCTTACAGGTTGCACACCTCAAAATTCAGTTATGGTAAGGAACCAAGATATTCACTAGTTCATGTAAAAAACACTCTCCACATTCAGTACTAGCTCTTCAGCGGCTGAGTAGAACATCAGGGCAACTGTAACTGTCCTCCATTTCTGTATTTTTTGCCCCCAAGCTACAATTTTTTCTTCACAAGTACTCGTCAATACAGTCTCATGAAATGAACCATCTCTTCTTAATAATGGTTATTTATTAAGACACTGATACTCATTATAAAGGAGTAATCCACAGCTTAAGAGGAATAACCTCTGCTTTAAGAGGGTGGTCACTTGCTTTGTACCAGGAAGGAAAGAAGTCCTCAATCTTCTAGAAGTGTATTTTACATCATGACCCTTCCCTTTCTTCTCTGCAGTCTCAGGAGGTTAGCAGCTACGCTGCTTTGCAAAGCCCTGAGGGACAGTCATCATTCACACTGCAGCTTAATAAATATGACTGCTGTTTTGGTGCCACAAGCACCAATACTGCTGAAAACATCACTAATTCTGCACTCCTACACCTGTACTTAGCAAGAATATTTGCGTATCTATACAATTACCAAGGCAATCGGCACCCTATCACTGTGGGATACAGGTTTGATCAGCTTTTAAATTCTACACCTGTCAGGTAGGGGAAGATAGGGATCTGAGCAGTCTACCAGAGAAAAGAGGTGGCACCCGGAAGAGGAGGATGATTACGTGTAATTGTCATAGATGGAATGGTATGCGATGGTAACAACAATCAAAATCTGGAAGAGGCAGATAGATGAGGTCCCCCTGGGCCATTATATACAGGCAGAATATACACTGAATTTCAACTCAATGACAGATGGACTGTGAGATTCCACAGGGGCTGGGCGATGATGTATAGTCTAGTTTAGTTCTTCTTTAAGAGCCAGAAACTTTTAAAAAGTTCCGACAGAAAACCTGAAATTTACTTTTAGAAATAAATCAATGCTTCACTGATTTATTCATTGAGGTTTACTCTGTAACATATACAGGATTACTCCTATGCTTTGTTGTCCTTGTAAAGAAACGAGGGAAGTCTCAAAATTTAATTTAACAATCACAGCCATGAGTCACATAACTGGCCATCTGCAATGTCTTTAGTAAAGCCCTTGTAAAAAAAAAAAATTCAGGCTAATTCAAATCTGCTTGAAACCTGTCTATGGTGCATGTGAAGAGTGCAAAAGGATGTTTGGGGGGGGAAGGGGGGGAGGAATCACACACAGTGCTTAACAACACAGAAGGGTGCAAATAATTAAAAAAAAAGGAAGTTTTCATACTCAGGCACCGGCTGAAGATGGAAAGGACAGAGGATAGGCGTGTTCTCAATCTGCGCAGAAAATTGTCCTGAGTTGCGGCTTGAATCTCCGGCGCTACATGGCCCCTTGCAGCCAGTTTGCCCCCTGCAAGGCAGCTTCCGAGGCTGTGCTTTAAGTGGAGAAAGCTTTGCCATTGCCTTCTGCGGGTCGCCACCTCCAGGATTTGGAGCATTCTGTATTGCACTGTAACATTAAATAGAAGAAGAATTTAGACATTAGGAATTTTGCTCCTTTATCCCCCTGCCCCCATTCCATGTATTTTGCAATCCCTTTAACAGATTATAAAACATTATTTGAAAAAAATTGTTATTTTAGTACAACCCTGTTGCAAAGTAAACTACCACTGGATAAGCTTAGTTAACTAATGTAGTGTGGTAATAAGTGAACAGAACCGTATTGTCTGGAAGACTAACACCAGATAAACAACTCCTTCAATTTGTTCACAACAGATTAGAAATCTTTATAAACACCGTTGCAAAGGCTAAACTCAGGGTTTTAAACTTCCAAGGCATGGGTAAAGCCTCATCCAAGTGTTGGACTTGCTGAACATGTTTCAAGACAGTACTGTATGTGTTTTGTTAAATCCAGAGAAGTTGTAACAGACAAAGCTTTCTCAAGGAAAGAAATGTAACTTTATTATTTAATTAGGCTTTTTAAACAAATTCTCAAAGGCTCAGATAAATTTTATGCATGACTCAAGTCAGAAGACAGAAAAGTAGTTTTTTTGTGTAAAGATATAGCACACTACCCTCTATTTGTACTATATTCAGTCTTCACGTGAGAGCAAAGAAAGCTTGTCGTGAAAAGCTAATGACTTTTTACCTCTCAGTATTTACCAAATCATTGATTTGTAATTAAAGCCACTGCTTTCTTCTGCTTTAGTAACACAGAAAGCTACTTAGTTATCCAACTGCAGGATGTTATGTGGCCTTGGAAGATACCTTGTCTAAATCCCAACTTAGTCCATGAGCCTCTGACCAGCAGGAGATGCAAGCTATAAAAAAGCAGCACAAACCACCCTGTGGCGAAGGTTTCTTATCATAGGCCAGCAGCTGCCGAGATCCTGTAAGCCTTCCAAAAGTGTAACTACAGAAACCGGATTTATCATTACGAAGCAGCATGTTGCGACCTCTTGCCAACACTCGGTCTTCCTGATAATTTTAGGCTAGCCTAACTGCAATCGAATCAGCTGTCCCTCCAGACACAAGAGCAGACAGACCACAGAACAGAAACACATACGCAACACAACAAATGATTTGTAGCTTCTTGCTCTTCACACTTCTAAATACTAACCGAACTGAAATCCTGTACATATTTGGAAGGTCTCCAGAAATGACTCGTACGCACATGCCCATTTGACCACTGGCTTTTTCCCCATGAACTTTTAAAATTCGCAAAGAACTAGAGTAATTTACACAATCCTGCATGTGTTTGAAAGGCTCCACGATGGAGAGGCAGGGGAGAAGGCAGAGGGGAGGTGCGTTATCTACTTAGCATTTACTTCAACAAACACTGAACAAAACACTAGTTTTTCCTCTTCTGCAATATTATGTTTCTAGCAAAATGCAGTCCCAGGCTGTTTTCACCACATTGTTGCCTGTCAGAAAAGGAAAACCAGGCTGTCAGTTTTCCATTCCCAATACTTTTCCAGACTCCTACAGGTACACTTCTCTCTCCACAAATATCTGCAGCCTTTTTTAATCTGTTGTGAAATCCAGGCCCATTTTAAAAAAAAAATCAATTGCAAGCTATGGGCTGAAATGACACTCTTTCAGTACATCCAGTAGGACTGTAAGCCATTTCTCTGGAGCTGTGACAAGGCAGTCACATTTTAAAAAAGTTTTGTTTAACATTAACAGTAAAAACAGGGCAAAGCAAAATTACAAACTCCCTCTACCTCATTCTCTTAAGACACATTATTTTCTGGAAACCATGACAGAGCCAGTTATTTCAGCTCTCTCTTGCCCAGAACTTGGTTGTCAGCCAGCTTCATCCATAACCCCTCACCACCATTCTTTCTCTCCTCCAAGAGTGTTATTTTATCCATTTTTATCCATCCCTCTTTCAGATACCATCAGAACTAGTTTCAGGGATCCACACATGCCCAGTGATTTGATGGGACAGTACCAAGACCAGAGCGAATCCAGTTAAGTATCAGACAAAAATGTATAGTTCATCAAAAAACTGAGGTATGTCACCATTTGCTGAAGTCAATCTGCAGAGAATGGTCAACAGTGAGATCAGTCGGGCAGGCAGGATTGACTTTCACAGGATCTCCTCCAGCGTTTCTCACAGCTTCCCTCATGGCAGCAAAATCCACCATTGCTGGAATTCCACTAACCAACAGAAAAACAAAGTAGTATAACATGGGGCATTAACTCACTGAAATATACAAGCTTCTTTTTAATTTTATTTAAGTCTAGCTCCACCTAAATTCTATTTCAGATAATAAACTCCTACTGTCCTATTCTCTAAATTTTAAAGAACTGAAAACATTTTTAAAAGTTAATGGAGTTGGTACTTGTTCACAACAAGCAACAGCATGTTTGAAGGTAACATACCAAACAAGAACATAAGAACATCTTGAAGAGGAGAATTACATTTCTCTCTTCTCTTGCTAGGCTTCAGAAGTACGATGGTACTTCACTACAAAACTTATTTTTAGATACTTACTACCTTTACGATAGAACCTTGCTTTGCAAACAATGCTCATGCTATACATGTTAACACCTTAGCATATGTTATTACTCTTCTTAGAGTCAGCCACTTCTGAAGCTCATGGTATTTTACAAAAAATATTCTTGTGGCTATTACATAGATAAGTGTACTCCAAGGGGAGTACATCTTTTATGTAACACAGTACTATATAAATCTTCCCTACTTCGCTTGCTAAGTCAAAGTTACCTACTTTTTGTTGTTAATATCACAATGTCTTTTTTTAATTATCTCGCTTCTTGATAAAAATGTAGTTAATGAGTCAGAGAGACAGCTTAAATGTAGTATTTGCAAATTGCTGAAGGACTGCCCTTTTAGCTATGCCATACCCATATCACAAAGAAAGTTAATATCCTAAGAGACTACATTTTAAATACATGTATTATTCATGGATTCAATTGGCTAACATATACTTGTGGAGTAAGCAATATTTAATCTTCAGTTATCTCAAGCAAGAACTCTTATCTATTTCAATGAACTGTCAGCCATCTGGCTACAGCCAAAACGTCACCACTGCCATTTGTGTTTTGGCTCTTATCCTGTAAAGTGTTCCTTGTAGGCCAACAGCTTCAGCCTTGCCAACCTGCACCAAACCCAGGGTATCCTATGGAACAACTCCTGTCCTTGCATTACGCGTAATTATCAGACAGCAGAAGCAGCGGACAGGTTTCTATTGAGAAAGAGACACACTTCAGGATCAGAAGGCTAGGTGCTATTTATTTTCAAGCCCAAGAACTGTATGTACAACTCAGTGGGTTTACACAGATTATTTCAGAGCTTTTGGCACACGCGCGCGCACACTTACGTAAAGTCTTGAAGAACAACTCTGGCAGGACAGAAGGGCACTTCAACATTATTCTGTTTTGTTTTCCAGTCTAAGATGTTCATAGCATCCGTTTCTTTCACTAGGAGGCCATCACAGTTACGGATACTGGATTCAAACAACACTCGTATGGAATAAGGCAGAGTATCTAGGGTAAAGCAAAGTAATTGACTTAACTAGTGCAACACTTTCAGCTTACGTAGTTTTTAAAAGTTACAATCTCACATTTCTAAAGAATTACATTTTGGTAGGGCTTGGAAGGATGAGAGCTACAGCAGCCGGCTTTTCCAGTTGCCTTTGGGCTTCATCTTCATTACACAATATGGAACAATGAGTTGCATAATGTATACATTGCAGAAGATGATTTGTTATATGGGATTTGAACAGAAGATACCAGCAGCTTGACCGCACTGTGTTAGGACAGTGACATTTAAAAAGGTATGCCATGCTGGCAGGAGGGAGATGCAAGGAATCTAGAGCTGGGATTACTGATCAGAGTGGGTGAAAAGCAACAACTAGAATATTCAAAAATATTTTAAACTGTAAATGTCACCATGTCATTACTTGAGATATCAAGCCAAAAGCATCCAATGCCAGAATATTTTTTATTTAAAATAAACAGTGATATGAAGACCAGAAACTATTCTGCTCTGTGCCCTAAAATTAAACACATTTCATAAAATATAAAGAAGAATGACATTTCACTAAACACTACTTCAGTTAGTTTGTTACTGATCTGGATTAAGGTATTGCCTAGAAGCAGCTTTCAGGCACATGAAAATTTAGGGAACTGGAAATGAGAACGAAAAAAGTGGGAGGAGGAAAAAAAGCAGATGGCAACTATTCACTGTAAAGAAAAAAAAAGATTAATTTACATTTCTCCCAAATCCCATTATTTTCAGCAGCATTCAAGCAGGCAAATGACTCAACGAGAACAGTGAGAAATATTAAAAAAAAGTTAGTTGGAAGAAGCAGATAAAACAATTAAGTTCAGGCTTTAACAAAAAAAGTTAGATTTGGTGGTCTCAACCTAATCCAGAGGTTTGGCATAAACTATTAATATAGGATTTTCTGACTCTGTTCTCACTGTGTGCCTTCCTCAGATAGTATCCACTGTTGTCTAATTAGACTCAAAATAATATAAGAATGTCATCAAAAACATGTCTAATCAGCTGTAATGCCACCACTCACTTTATTTAACAGCCAAGTTATCAGAAGAAAACTGGTTTGCTTTTTCTTGGATTACAGTAATTCACAGTGCATCCTTACAGTGGTAAATCCAACTGTCCGAAGGGCTGCTTCGCAGCCATCAGCTATGGAGAAGCGACCACTTCTCTCTGTCAGGCACCAGCAAGCTCACATTAGCCTCCCAGGATACAGGAGATCTTGACAAATGAGATCACATCCAGCAAAGGCCCTTCCAAGATGGCTATGAGGCTGCTGAGCCTGACACACAGGAGCAGTTGGGAGACCTGGGTTTGCTCAGCCTGAGAAGAGAAAGCCAAGTGAGCTAACTGTAGTCATCTGCAACCTAATAGCAACTGCAGAAAAAGTGAGGCCTGACTTTAGCAGTGCACAGTGAAAGGACAAAAAAAAAAAGTCACAGAGTGCAGGAAGGGACACTGCGACTGGATACAAGGAAAAGAAAGTTCACAGGGAGGGCGGTTAAGAACAGGATCAAGACAGGTGGTGGAATCTCCATCCTCGCAGATTTGTGGAGCTTCAGCCAAGAAAGGCTCTCCAAGTTAGCTCTAGTCCCAGCACAAGGCTGGACTAGATCTCCAGATGCCCCCTCTGCCCTAAATCATTCTGAGCTCTTTCTAGCTATCATTTTCCCCATAACTGAATACTACTTTAAACACTAGAAAAATCAGATTCTCCCTAGCAAACTGGCAAATAAATCAATTAACATTTACATTAGTAATGCAATTAACTTACACAGGCACTTATTGTCAGATCATAGACAGAAGCCCCAAGGCAGAGGGCAAACAGATAAACCCCAAAATTAATGTTTCAGCAACAAATGCAATGAGCAATTCCAGATGCTGGATTTGCTCTTGGTGCTGTCCCACACTGTGCCTAAATTTTATTTACTACCTTGCTAATATGTAGTTAATATGAGGCTTCCAACATCTGCACAGAAGTTTCTATTGGAAGACAAAGACACTCAGTCTAGTTTAGTTAGGCTCCTTCTCCAAATATCTTCAGGAATATCTGCTGCTGCTCTAAGCTTCATGGCATATCTTGCAAGTTTATCTTCTGTTTACATTTTCCCTCCTGCCACAAGACTTTTCAAGAGACTGCTGTAGAGCTGACAGGTTTTGTTACTACCACACTACTGCTTCTTCCTGGACAAAACCATCAACTGAAGCATTCTACCTCCTTCTTACGCGCTTATCTGAAAGATTAACTTAATTATTACAAGTCGTAGAAACTTGCAAGAGCTCACAGCTATGGCACAGAATGTTCAGCAGCCACTGTGCACTAGCTCCCCTCTCTCTTCCCTTCAAACAATAAGGAAATAGTTAGTGCTGTCAAATACAGGTTTATAGTGAGATATCCACTGGTACTTTTTTAGTTAAGAAACACATCGTGAATTCTGTGAATAAAGGAGAGTAATCCAGACCTTACAAAACACCAAAACTGAAAAAAAAAAATAAATCCCCAAATGTCTGTAACAGGTACCCCAGGTATGTCATGAGTTTAACACAGAAACAAAGGGAGAGAATAATAAAAGTATGTTTTGGTTACCTGCAAGAGTAAAGCCTACTCCAGCTGACACTGCTATAGCTCTCTCCATCTGCATGTATTCCCCTCCACTATCACATGTGCACTACTTTTTATTTTTTAAAAGGCACTCAGGCACAGAGACCAAATAAAAGTCTTTTTGGCACATACCACTTACTGTTACAGTACACACTAATGACACGCTGAGCTTAAGCAATTGTTTGAACATCACAAAACCTCATCTTCCTGCAGCAATTGCAGTAGAAGCTATGTTCTAGCAAGCACCAAGAAGCAGTACAAAATTATAGTAAAAACTGTATTTAATTTTCAAGTACTACATAGGAGTTCTCTGTCTCTTCATTTTTTCCAAAAGAGAAGTTATTCTGATCTGAAGAATTGCTGAGAACTCCAGCAACACCTATACTTTCTCCCTTACTGGAAAAAACCTATGTGAAGGATTACCTCCACCAGCTTCACAGAGCTATAACAGACTGGAAAATTATAAGCTTTCAAATATACCTGTTAAGAACTCACGTGTTCACGACTGCATCTCCTAACATTTTACAGCAGTGAGTGGTGCATGTTTACTAATGGTACCCTCCTAATTACAACCAGCTAAGAAGTATCATTACCATACTTGGCGCCTCCAAGCTTTGCGACATTGTAGAAGTTCTTTTGTGGATAGTTTCCTAACGCTTCAATTACCGGCTGGTAAGGGCTTCCTGGGGGAAAAAAACCAAGAAAAGTTACAGTCATAAAAGCATTGAGCCCTGACAGAGGACTCATAAGAATAGCTTTCTGTTCATGATTTTACCAAAAATAACGTTCCTCTAGGATTGCAAGTAAATCATAATATGGAAAGGTTTCTAAATGGATTGAAATACACAATGATATAAATGTGTGACTAAAATGAATTTTAAAACTATCTGTAATACCGGGTATATACAGGTCATGCAAGTAATCAGCACAATCACACGCCTGAATATGTTTGACCTTTATTGTCTTAGTTTACCATCTACAAAACAGAATAAATGCACCTCACCAACTCAGATAGCCGATACAGGCTTTAATATAGCAGAAAACTTAAAAGGATTAAGTGCCAGGCTACTGACATGCAAACAAGAGACAAAAAACCCCAAACCTCATAACAGCTATTAGGTGGAAAGAATAAATAACTTCTTAAGAAGAGAAATACTGGTTCACAACACAAACGTTTCAATCCATCTGCTAGCAAACTAAAGGGACAGTGTCAACGATATACTCTCTCAGGCCTAGAGAAATTCATATAGTAAAAGCTTAAAGAAATAAAGTCTGGATTACAAACAGTGGGGAAAATGGTGTTCGTTCTGACATCACTGAGCTGCTCCCGTGAGCACAACTACCAAATCAGCAGCAGAACACTTACCCTTTGTTTGCCGTTTGCTTTGATCTTAATACACTACAGCTACACTTCCATAGCAAAGCAAATGCGACATCATCAACAGCTAAGAAAAACTGCGTCACTTGAACATCCAAACAATTAACATGACCCCCCAAATTAAGCCGAGTACCGTTTAGGCCTCAGCTCTACCGGCTGGAACCTTTACGGGCACGACATCCCTCCCTCGCCGCAGCGCCTGCGGCAGCAGGGACCGATAGAGGGACAAAAATGGTCGTCAGGAATAACGGGAGGCCCGGCGGGACGGGCTTG